AATAATAATATTTTTTTTTTTTTTATATTTTTTTTTTTTTTTAAATTTTTTTTTAAAAAAAATAATATCCACCTTGTGGTTTTTTTTTTTTTGGGGGGGGGGGGGGGGGGGGGCTGCTTTACTCAATTAAACAATTTCATATTCAGGTCAAGAAAAAGACGATACTAATATCGTGTAAAATACCACAAAAGTTTTTCTTTTTTATATCATCGTTTCTTGAACCGAGTGATGTCAATTCAAAGACTGCGACACAGAACTATGCAGACTATGAGAACTTTACACACCGACCTAGTACAGAACAAGGACACCGAAGTTTAACTATCACAACTACGAGAACATTGAGTACTATGAGAACATTTAGAATATTCCAACAACTGATTAATTGAGGCGACAGAAGCGTGAGGGAGGGGGCTGAAAGTGAGTAGCAAAGCAACATTTATTGCATGATGCAGGCATGAGTGGAGATCTAATTCATGTTCTTCGTTTTCTCCTAATTCTCAGTGCATTGTCAAATCATCTTATCGATACGTGATTTAGATGTAAATGGCTGAGGGTTAGGTGCTCTGAGAATTAGGAGAAAACGAAAAACGTGAATTGGACCTCCACTCATGCCTACATCATGCAATGAATGTTGCTTTGCTACTCACTTTCAGCCCCCTCCCAGTTGTTGGAATATTCTAAATGTTCTCAGAGTTCTCAATGTTCTTAACCCCTTAACGCAAATATGCTTTTTCGATTTTTTCGATCTTATAATCACGTTTAGCGGAGAAAATTGGCCACATCCTGAAGGCATGAACTCCTTCTCATGTTTATTGGCTGAATAGTGAATTTTGTAATAGGTGAAAACAGCCTGAAAAGCCAAATTTTCGTAAAACTCGCTTTTCGGTAGATTTTAGAAGTTTTTCTAGAAACAAATATTGCCACAAAACTCAGCAGGATCGACTACCTATAGTCCATCCGTTTTCAAGGCTACCAATAGTCACCGGGTGCCAGTCCTGTGACTCGCAAGAAATTCGACACAACACCCGAGCCGCGGAAAACCTAGGTTTCACTTGACTCTCATTTTGAAGACGATACCTTGGGCTATCATAGCATGGAAGGAAATCAATACAATCCTATTGAAAATTTTTACACATGGCCTGGTTTTCCAAAGATCTCCTCGCTGTTTCTCTTTGGTTTTCAGTAAAAGCCGTTTTCCTCAGCAAGGAAAAAGAATTTTGAAAAAGCTCTTCATACTTTTAAAGCTGACGTGTTGGCCGATCTGATGGTATGTGAATCATCGATATAGTGTGATCACAATTAATCTTCTAATATAACCCTGCCCATTGAATTCTCCGTCTAAAGTTACCTATACATTCAACTTTTTATATCTCAATAACATTCGAAATGGAAAATTTATTTTCTTGCGTTCCAAAAAGCTTCACTTATCTGAATTTTTGTCACTGTATAGTACTGCGCAAAAGTAGCGAGCACCTCTGTAGCTCAAGAAGCATGGTAGCTAGGGACTTCTAATTTTGTATGGTCATAGCTCTTGCCGAATGCTGATCACCTACCAAGTTTGGGCCTCTTTTACTAGATGGTTCGTGAGATATAAGCGGTTTACATCTTTTTTTGTAAAATATCATTAGCTCCTAAGCAAGAGAGATGAAAACTTTCTCTTTTTACTAATATGTAGCCAAGACTGTACTCTATCTACGATATGAGTTTCCTGAGTTGGCTGTTAGTAGTCAGTGAAATACAGCTAGTCGCAATCTAGTCACATACAAGACACTTTTTCTCGGAAGACACATCGCCGAAGTTACATTCTTTTTTAGAGTGCTGGCTCAGGAGGTACTGATATTTTACAAAAAAAAGATAAATCGCATATATCTCACGAACCATCTAGTAAAAGAGGCCCAAACTTGGTAGGTGATCAGCATTCGGCAAGAGTTATGACCATACAAAATTAGAAGTCCTTAACTATCACGCTTCCTGAGCTACAGGGGAGCTCGCTACTTTTGCGCAGTACTATACAGTGACAAAAATTCAGATAAGTGAAGCTTTTTGGAACGCAAGAAAATAAATTTTCCATTTCAAAGCAGCGGAATCTAATAAGACTAAGATATCTCGATGCATTTTGTAGAACACATAATTCTCTCTACAGAATGCACTGTTGTACATTGAACATCAATCCTTAGAGTGTTCGAAAATGAGCTCTACTAACGGGAAGTAGCAAAAATGACTGAAGAATTTCTAATGGATTTGAATTTTCATCATCAGAACGCGCTTTCCAGTCGAAATAAAATCCATATTGATGATCAGAAAAAAATTGAATAGAAAAACTGGTTTTTTGGTATTAAAGCTGTTCGATCAAAAACTTTGCCTGATATATAGTCCATTCAGAGCAAAGAATTTCCAGATACGCAAAAATCAAACAGGAGAATATGCGACTTTCCAAAAAAACATTGTATACCTTTTTTTAATACCTCATAAGGCACCAATCAAATGTTATTAAGATCTAAAAAGTTGAATTTATAGGTAATTTTAGGCGGAGAATTGAATGGGCTATGTTAGAAGCTTATTTTTGACTACATGATATACTTTTTTGGTACTTATGGAACGTCTCTGAGATAAGTGTCGATGTATACCGCTGGTCATCTGTTTGATGACGATGTTTATATCGTTTACATGCAATGAGTGAGGCAACCAATGGATTGTAATGTTGATCTAAGCTCGGTAGAGGTATGCTGGCTTTTCTGTTACCGATAGTCTTGAACAAATAGACATTGCTATTGAACAATGATTCGTTGTATTGCACAGGACAGAACCTCAAAAAGTCCAAATGGCGTTTAATATACAGTAAATACACAACACTTCACAATTACATAATAACTAACGAATAAAACCGGCTCCCCAGTGTAAAACATACGTTTTACTTATACAAGCCTGTTGATAATATTCACCTGTTTTACGTACTTTGCGGTACCTGCTGTTTAATAAATACACAATATAAACCAGCATGCAGTTAAATACAGCACCATAGTAGCTTTAATGCTAGCTACAATAAGGGTTCAAATCTCAAAACACGATTTTGTCGTCTGGCTGTCCTTTGTGGGACAGGGTTCCAATTTCCATACTTAAACACTTGTTCTAAATCGTGTTTCACCAAATAAGTATAAATTGGATCCTCTATTGGTCCTCCAAAGCATCTTTCTTATAGAGGCTTAAAGAGCGGTTGTCAGTGAAACACCTTATTAACTCGTTCGCACTTTTCAGCGAAACGATCATTCAACCTGAAACTCGCGTTTTGAAGACGATGATCCGAAGACAACTTTTCTATGAAGTATTCTCATACAAGGTACTTTCAAAAGCTAAACAAGATATTTGTTTCCAAAAAAAGCCGTGTCGCGCAATCCCTGTAGCATTAAAAAATGTGAAACACGATACATCGGATGAACTAAAATGATTGCAGCATTGACTATTTTGCAAATACTCCGGATCCGTAAATCATATAGCGTTGAATTTCTTTAAAGGATGCTCCATGAAACTCTATACAAGAATGTCAATAAAAATATCTATTGAGTTTGTATAATGGTGACCCGACAATTCGTGTTAGTCTTTCATGTATCCGACAATTCGTCTCAGACAAAGCGTCACACAATATTCGCCTCGTACGTAGAAGACAGACTGTTCTTGACACAGTAACATTCTCTGTGAGACGAATTGTCTAAGTATACACCTGAGACAAAATGACGAACGGACAAATTTTCCGTGAGATAAATTGTCGGGGACGAATATTATGCGAGACAAATAGACTGAGACGAATTGTTATAGCACCTGATAGCACCTGTATAATATATTTTTTATAAGACTAAGACAAAATCGCTGTAAAATAGTGCAGTGTCCTAGTTTTCTAAAAGAAACGAAGGTGAAGATAATATCAAAAAAAGTCTTAGTTTTATTTGAAACAAAATTATTTATAATTTTTGCGTTATTTCACGTCAACTTTTTATTAAATATATTATGGTATCATGAAAAATTTTGTTTGAAATAGATAAAAGACGTTTTTCGATGTTACTTTCACCTTCGTTTCTTTCAGAAAAATCGAACATTGCACTTTTTCAGTGCTTCTGTTTTAGTCTCATAAGAACAAATTATACGAACTAAACAGGAGTTTTCATTGCTATTCTTGTGGACGATTTCGTAAGACGTGAGGTATAAAAATAACTTTTATAAGTTTAAGACATTCGACACACAGATGTAGCGTACATTTAACATGTCGTCGGCATCTATCATGATGTCTAAGCGCAAACAGTGTAATATTTTGTTGTTTTTTAACATTAAATAAATCTTAAGCGGTTTTTAACGTAAACGTAAAATTGTCTTCAAAATAGGGTTTATCTCTTCATCGCTTGTCTCTACTAATTGTTCTTGCAAAAACTGTTGGTATGTCCGTACTAACATTTGCATCTGAACTATTTTTTGTATCAGTTGTGAGTATTGACGTGCGGCTTGATAATAGCTAGAATATTTTTCAATCATATAGCGAAATAGTAGACTCGTATAGATTGATTGAGCTTCATAGACTTGTTTACTATTCAAAAGAGCTGGCTGTTCGTCCGCTACAATATCGTCAACTGAGATACTTCTGGTAAATATCATTATAACCATCAACAGCTGCAAAATAACTGGATCCTCGTCAGTAATCTTCTTGATCGAACGAAATAATTGATTTGATTGTAAATCCAAGTGTTCTCCATAGCCATAGCACGACAGTTGTCTGCAAGCGATAGCATACTCTTCACTTTCAGTTTCTGAATCAATTACGAGATCTCTATCTGCATCGTAAATCAGACATAGACGCATGATAAATACCAAAGGAGAATTGTATTTAACTAATACGAAACGATCTTGTCCAGTAAGTGATTCGAACTCAGGAATCTGTCGAATGAATGTAATGAGTTTCATACCGATTTCATAAATGAGTGAAGCTGAATAGAGTAAAATCGAACGTCGATCGGCTATATGACCCAATTCAGATATATCATGTTTGGCTGCTGTGAGTCGAAAAGCTGTCTCGTAAGAAAGTTTAACTAAGTTGAGACGATTGTAGTCATCAAGAGTGAGAAAAAGATTTTGAATAGGTGGTATAGTTTGTTGAGCAGAAGATGATTGAGTAGTTTGAAGTTGCTCTATAGTGGACTCCTTCAATGACAAATATAGGCGATATAAAGAAACGTAAAAATTTTTGGTGTTTCAACTTGATGCATCTCGTGCAATTTCACCAACCCCTTTTGACGCAGATTGGGTACCATTAAACTCTAAGTGATATAACATACGAAAGACAGTCGTACTTGTTCGGAGCGGTTCTCGAATTACGTTTTTCCTAACTTTTTTGCATATACCAATTCATCCTCTTGTAAACAGTATTTCAAGTCTCAAAAAGTATTGTTTGCCTAGAAAATTATACACTTTGTAATACAGGCAAACAAAAGACAGGAAAAAAGAGGAACTGCGATTTTCGGAGGACTGTAAGTTATAAAGGCACGATTCAACAGAGCTGGGATTTCGACGACTAAGAATAGTACATTTGAATCTACTTGTGTACGCAAAAAATAAATTCATATGTTCTTTTCATGAAGTCGGTGTCAATCTAAGAAATGACAAAAACGTCCACATCCAAACTGCCAGTATCAAAGTTGATTGTTTCGAATAGTGCCGCTTGCTATTGCTGTTGAGCCTCGGGTGATTACGAGAGCACATAGTCTCGTATTTGGGCACGCGTTAAACACTTTGTACGGTGTAAAGTGAGAAGAACTTGTCCAGCAGAGTAGAAAATCGGCTGTGGATGTGACTTTTGTGGCTTTTTCTAACTTTTCCTAACACTCACATCCACCCTCGATCTGTAATCTGAAGCGTTCCAAATAATATACGTTGTAGAAAAACAAGAGAAATGGTCTGAGGAAAGAAAATCAGCTAAAGAATAATCTCTGTTGCACTCAATTTGTTCTAGAATATATACGTATGAATTCATATGATCACGAAGAACACATTTCTGATCTAGTTTTGAGCGCTAATTTCAACAGTGAAAAACTGCACCTTGCTAGGTTTTTTTGATGAAAAACATTCTCACAGTGAAAGAGCGATTTTCACAATCAAAACGACCATTTTGTTATAGTTGGTTCATATCTTTATTCTTTTATATAAAATCTTCATTTTGGTGCCTAAATGAACCTTCTTGACGTAACACCTCTGCTGAAAGAGTTACGTGGGCACGCTTTTGACATCTTCTTTTATTGGGAATCAAACGAACTCGGGAATAGTATGATTTAGGAAGAGGTTTGGGGTCTGTTCTCCCTGAGGCGCCGATTTCTTTTGTTTTTTCTACATCGAGAACACATCGAGAACTTTCATTTGCAGACCAAAATGAAAGTTCTCTGAAAAGCAATAGAAATACGAACCTATTAGAATGGTAGCGACGAGTTGTCACGATTGAAATCAGCGCTTATACTAGGTTAGAAAATGATTGTCTTCATTCTTGCGACAAACCAGTTGTATGAAGTGATAAGTGTCACATAGGCAACCTACTCGGGGTGTTCTTCATTGGGTTCTTCAAAAACTTGTAGAATACATATTATCAATTGTGTGCATCCTTCTCACTGATTTTTCCTGAGAAAACGCTTTCGAATACAAAATGAGTGCTGTTTTTTTTATTGACTCTGCTATTAAAGTGTCGTCAAAGTTGCTTACTTTTTGCGGCTCCAGCGCTATAACTGGTTCGTTCATCAATTGTTCATTCTCCTCAAGAGATACATCTGCATAATTTGTCTGCGCAAGAGTAGTGACTGCATTCTTCGTTGATCGTCTGTTTTTCTCTAGCTGTCGCTGCTTGTTTAACTTTTCATCCGCAGTACAATTCCATTTCATACCTATGAAATAGAGTAACAGACCCAGTTATATTTAGTTCATCTTCGAATTATAACAGAGTTACACACTTACCGACTGACAGACACTTCTCAAGTCGACAACGTCGACATATACGACGACTGTTTTTAAATTTTATATCACACTTGTTAGTGTTAGTTAAACATTTTAGATCGTTCTACAAAAAGAAGGTGAAAGAATCATGAAAGGACAAGCGGTGGTAAGACCATTTTTTCGCCTTTTTTTATTAAAAAATCTTTTGCCGTAGTACGCGAGAAGTCTGTTTAGAATAGTAATAATACGTTATATATGTGTGAAAATGGTTGTTCTATCAATTCCTGACAGATTAACGACTTAGCAAGTATATATTCTCAGTTTATTTCGCTAAAAATTGAAATACTACAAAAAAGAGCAGAAAAGTTATAAAATGGCCAGGTATTGCCAGACTATGACCAACAAAAAACAGTTTTAAGACAAAATGAATATGTTGTTCGGAATCAGGATGTAACTAACATCCCCTAACATGAATTCTATTTAAAATAATTTTTCGTCAAAATTCAACCCCCTGCTACCCCTCAGTGCTTTTCTCGTTTAATTTTACTTGTGGTTCCCAGGTCGAATTTTTGTGAAAAAAGTTATTTTAAATAGAATTCATGCTAGGGGATGTTAGTTGCATCCTGATTCCGAACAACATATTCATTTTGTCTTAAAACTGTTTTTTGTTGGTCATAGTCTGGCAATACCTGGCCATTTTATAACTTTTCTACTCTTTTTTGTAGTATTTCCACTTTTTGAATATTTTTGTGCATTGTTTTCTCGTTTGTGAAGTCACATTCGGATAGAGCATGAAAAACTGCATCGGTCTGACTATATAACTCATTGAATTAAATAGTTGTTAGAAAAAAAATTGGCCTATACTTTATAATATATAGGTCTTTGTTCCTGTTTTTTTTCAATTTTTAGCGAAATAAACTGAGAATATATACTTGCTAAGTCGTTAATCTGTCAGGAATTGATAGAACAATCATTTTCACACATATATAACGTATTATTACTATTCTAAACTGACTTTTAGGGTGAAAGCGTAGTGAGTTTTGGACTAAGGTCAAAAAAACATCCGTTGTCAGAATAGGCGGTTTTTTCATTTAAACCACTTTTAAGCGAAACAAATCTTATATTCGTGATCAACATGGTCGATAACCAATATCTAGATCAAATTGGAGGGAAAAATAAAACATTTTCTTTTTGTTCCCGGGCGGTGGTAGGTACCACGGCAAAAATTTTTCAATAAAAGAAAATTTTTTCTTTTCTAAAAAATACTGTATAGTTTGTTCAGAATTTAATGCTGATTTTAACTAATGCGGATTTCAAAAAATGTTGGGGGCGGAAAAATGGTCTTGCCGCCACTTGTCCTTTAGTCCGAGAAATAACATAGGCATTAGCGATTTACCACATTTTGAGAGGCATTTCGTTGAAAGAAAGATTTACATGATCCACAGGAAATAACATTGAAATTGTATCCAGAGCATTTATCTTCACATATTACACAAGTCAAATCAGTTCTACGACGTTTATATGATGCTTTTGTTTTGTCTTCAACAGTTTCAGTGATCTGAAAAATATAACTTTGTAGTGCATATCATACAAATATGATTTCAAAACACTTACAACATGTCTTGTTATATCAGCTAAATTACCACAATTATCTGATTTTTGAATAATGGAGAGAAGATTTTGAAATGTTTCATCATTTCCTGTAATAACCATTATATTAGTCTTTTGGTTTTTGGTAATGGAGTTGTCAGTAGCCATTTGCCTTCTAAAACTGAAGTTTGATTATTCTTTTTTTCTGTAGTGTTTTTTTTAACCAGTGCAACACGAAATAAATGAAAGAAACTGCGTATCGTATTTCAAAGCAGAATATGAGTATTTTTCTTTGTTTTTATCAATGACAAACGGAAAAAAGAACAATGACGAAAACTTACTATTCTCTTTTCTGTTCTGTTATGTTTTATATGTAAGAATAGAAATTACGAGAAATTACGAGTCCGTTGTTATGCAGCTTTCAAGACATTTCAAGCCGACTTCCAGATCGGACCTGAACGCAATGAGCCTGAAATTATCGAAGCATGGAAGCAGTATTTCAAACCATGTATTGCAATAATTTTAATCGCGCTTTCTGGATCCAAATAGTTATGTATAATTATCGCAACAATTTTTTAATCGAAGTTGAGTCATTTTTGATTGACTTGCTGATAAGATCAGTGTTATTATGCAGTATTAAATAAACATGTTCGCTTTCTCGCTCTGCTCAACAACATAATCATGTCGTATTTACTGAGAAAATCGACATATCTGCATGACGAACGTAGGGACGTAGCTACCGCTCTTTAAAGTCACTTTGTAGGCCTGTCTCTTTCGTAGCTGCACTGAAAAAATAGTGAACAGTCAGTGGCAAGTCATCAGAGAACAATTGGTGGTAATTGCCATATCAAAAAAAAACTTAAATAAAATATTTATTTATTTATATACGAGCGGAAAAAAGTAGTTAGAGTCTATACTTTGAATATATTTTCACTATCGCAACACATTTTATTAAAAATAATTACAGATTCTGAAAGTCCGTGGAGTTTTTCTATCATCCTGTGTAATTAAAATTCTCTGTCTTTCTGTATATTTCTCTGTTATCTTGCACTTATCTGTTGTCAAAATAATTTGAGCACAATGAAGACATCCTCGATCGACAAGTACAAAAATTCAGTATGTCAGATATTTTCTCAAACTATAAGTACAAGGAAAATCATTTTTTACAAAAGTAATTAAAAGTAGTGAAAAATGTGGCTTTTTAATACTTGTCGATTAAGGATGTCGTCATTGTACTCAAATAGGTATTTTCAATTGAATGAATGCCAGTTGATGCACTGTAAACAAGTTGAAAAAAGCTTTCATAAAAGAAAATGTCTCGACCGATATCACTAATTGTGATAGGGAATAGTATTGCAGAATGTCATTCAATAATAATTCGAACTTTAAAAGACATTGGTAATTGAAAGATGTTTTTATTTCAGACTCACACAATTTTTTAAGGAGAGGAAAAGGAAAAAAATTCCTTATCGTCGTCCTCACTGCGGTTGTACTGATATCTTACATTAACGAAATTGCACGTGTTTTTTGCACATACTCTGGGTATATATTCTGGGCACGTACTCTGTGCACGTACTCTGTGCACGTACTTTGTGCACATACTTTTTGCACCATGGTATTGCACATGACATATATAAAGAGGAAGAAAAAAGCTAGTCACAGATAAAAAGACAGCAAAATTTATTATATGTAACAAAGCAACGAAAAAGATATTTTCAATAAATTTTTGATCAATAGAACATCAAGTAAGTTGTACTTAGAGAGCGTCTATAGAACTTTACTTCGAATTGGAACATAGAGTACTGCAATCCGATCCGACCCTATCCGTCGAGCAGGGTATCCGTACGGGTAGGGTTGCGTTCGGATATGTTTTTAAAAACTAGGATAGAGTCGGGCGGGTTAACGACGAATGTATATATCATATCACAGATCAGTGTTTTTGTATCAATTCCTTAGCCGAATGAAAACAATGTGTTATGCTTCAGTATATAACACTATCTGCGCAATCAGAAAATCTCATAAGTACAAAAACATTCTCGTTGGTTATTTAGATGAACCATTCTTTTCACCGACGATCGAAGTGATGATCACGATCAACGTAAATTTCTACTTTTCTTTCTCTTCCACTTGTCTTGCGTCGACTGTCTTTCTACTGATTCATATCTTCTAGTTTTACTTACACTCTAACATGAGTAGCATTTCGAAAGAGACCGTTAAAAAGTTTCTTGAAAAAGATGATTATTCTCTTTATCGAAGGTCTGATTCTACCAGTGCTGAATGGTAGATGAACTTCGATCGAATTCGTGATGAAGAAGGAAAAAATGTAGGTTTTGTTTGATGTCGTCGCTGCTTTTCCCTGCTTGCCTATGATCCCAAAAAAACGGACACGTCATCACTTAGCTCAGTCGATGCACTTGTCGTTCTGAGAAACTGGTTCGAGTAAACATTACAAATTTCTATTTTCTTTATTTTTCTTTTTTAATCTATTTTGTTTCTATTCTCATCCACTTGTGATATTATATGTTTGGAATGTACCTTCTTGTGATCTTTCGTATTGGCCAGCTTATCTGTTTTTGATTATGTTTATTTATGATGTTACTATTAGCCATCTTTTTTGTTGGTGATCTGATCTGTTTGTGATCTAATCTCCTTGTGTTCTAATGTATTTATAATATTCTGATTTAAACAGCAAACGCTTCGAAGAAAAGAAATGAAAATTGACCTAATTTTGGAAAAAGGCTTCGAATTATATGCCTACAATGAATACACGTCTACTCTACAAAGAAATCAGGCCTACAGTACATGCCTGATTTCTTTTAATTTAAAGAAACCTAACATATAAAAATGAAATAATAAAATATACTGCGCATAAAATTTAGCTTCTTCGACTGATGAAAAGATCATATAGAATAAAATGAGTTTGTTTGCTTGAATATTTAATTGCACATGTTAAGACACGTGGGAATATACATTTGTAAGAATTTAGAGGAGCTATTAAATTAGGTTTTGGTATTCATTTCAGCTATTGTTCTATCTTGTAAAGGGACGATGAGAAATGAAAGCGAGGATGAGGATGAGGCGGAACATCTGTTAAAGGTGTACCCTGGTAGCTCAGCTAATCAATAAATTTCGTTATGTGTGTCATCCAATCAGATTCTTTTACGCCCGATTAATGGGGGGCCGACAGTTCAGACTTTTGGAGATTTGTGTCGCTCAGCTCTTCAGTCAAGTTTTTATATACAAGAAGTGTAGTTAGACATAAATGGTCTCTATAAAACTTTCGCCCAACCACTATTTCTATGCCCTGACTTTGGCTAGTGCGAATGTTAGCTGTCCGTCTCTGGTCCACTTAACTGGCAATGTGGACAGCCTGGACTGTCCTGAGATAGTTAGCGTTGGGACCTAGAGCAACCTCTAGGTGAAACTAAAGAGGGAACCGTTCGAAGTGACCTACTGCTTTTAAGCTCATATTTTGGGATATCGAGAGGACCGCTAGACTAGAATAACCCCAAAAGGCTTCGGGCCC